ATCAGATTAAACAAATGTAATATAAAACCAAAATCTGATATGTTAACATTTCAAATGCATGTGATATTCAAATTATGAAAAAATAGAAAAAAAAAAACATTTAATCTGTGAAATTGTTTGAAATTTGAAAAATGAACATAACACATATAACAAATATAAACTGGAAGTAGAATAAGTTAAAAAATAAACTACACCAATATAAATCCAGCAAAATTTAATAAAATAATAATGGTTTCAACCGTTTTTCAACGATCATCCTCAGTTACCAAAAATAGAATATTAAATATAGAACATAAAATGCGTTTGAAATAAATATAAAAAAAGAAAAATTAACGGAAAACGCCCTAGTGGACGAATTAAAGAAAAATTAATAAACAAACAAAATAAATAGCAAAAAATTAATAATTGTAAAAGGACCTCCATGCATTAGACCAGGCATGGCCAACATATGGCCCGCAGGCCAGAACCGGCTTGTCTAATGAATTTATGTGGCCTGCGATCAATCTGTCAATATTAGGTATTGAAGTTTGAATAGATTGATGAAAAATTCTGACGCCTAAAAAGAAAGGTCAACAACTCAATGTGTGTTTAGAGTTAACCCTCCATTACAAATCTCTTAAGTACAGCGTAGAGTGTTGATAAAGCATGATAATGTGAAAAATGAATCTGCAATCTCTATCTACAATTCAGTCTCTACAGAATGACACCACAATGAGATCTCTCACCACCTCAAAATCTTCCTAGGGCAGCCTCTAATTCAGCCCATGGAAAAAGTTTTCTTTCCAATCCGGCCCATTGGCAAAAACTGTTGGCCACCCCTGCATTAGACAATGAGTCTGCATCTCTATGGTTTATACAACCGGTTCCCATTTGCAGCTTATAGATTTCCAATCTTTCAAGATGTTTGATTGTTTGCCTATTAGTCGTTGTTTTTATAATTGCTGCCTGATCCCATTGCACGTTAACATCCTGTTGCCTTGCGTACGATGCTAATGCAGTGTTATCAAGTTCCTACTGATTGTATATTTGTGTTTCTTAAGCCTTTGTTTTAAACTGAGCATTTTCGCACCCACATAGACCCACAGCTTGGAATCGAAATGTTGGTCATGTAAAGGCACTGAATATATACTTGTTGTTGAATTCTGATCCTCTTTCTTTTTATTGTTTCTTAAAAGTTTGAAAATAGTGGGATTACGTCGGTATGCAATGCAAAAGTTATTAGACCTGGCAGTAGATCTATGTATCTTGTTCAAAAATGGGATGTAATTAAGCACTATTCATTTATTACAGTCAACCCTGGGAGAATGCTGTGCTGTGGATTGGAAGGATGAAATAAGACACACTATCTCTTCCTTTCAGTATCCATGTAGTTGGGCTACCTTAAGAATGTACTCTAGCTCTTTTATCGTGTCATCTTATCACTCTCTATTCTATTTTTGGTAACTGAGGATGATCGTTGAAAAACAGTTCAAAACATTATTATTTTATTAAATTTTGCTGAATCAGTGTAGTTTATTTTTTAAAATGAACATAATCTGACAATGTTGGTTTAGATCACTGAAAACATGTTCTCCGTACAAAGTCACAAATATTTGCTGAAATTTCAGTATGTAATTTATTATTAATATATCCAGTTATAGTGAGGTGTTATATGTTAAGTATAAAATCAGATGATATGCCATATTATTGGGTTATAATAAGGCTAAGTTAATAATTACATATGAAATCATCTGTATAGAGCAGGGCTTCTTAAACTTTTTTTATTCATGACCCCATTTATGATTGTGATTTTTTCGCGACCCCCTCCCCCCCCNAGAAACGCTGAGCTAAAATAAAAGTAAATGTGTTAGAAATATTCAAGTTGTGACCTTCAATAAAAAATAAAAAATATATAAAATGTCAACATTTTATATATTTTTGTCGAATTTTTATATATAGAATTTGTCTGCCGTCGCCCCTCTATATTTTCTTAACGCCCCCCAGTTCTCTTTGAGCCTTCTACTGCCCTCCTGAAAGCCTCCAGCGCCCACAAGGGGGCGTTATCGCCCACTTTGAGAAACGCTGGCTTAAAGTAATCAGGAAGTTTATTCTGAAGTTTATTTTTTTATTTGTTTTTACTTTTTGTTTCTATCAAAATATCCCTTTTACATATTTTTCATTTATTGTAAATAAATCTACTCATTACAAAATAAAATGAATAGATTTGTTTATAACATGTATCAGAAATTATTTATCAGCATTATGAAAACTGTTTTAATTAATAAAATTGCCAGGATGACAATAATACATTAAAAAAATTCAATAAAATAGAATAAACAATTAAATGTCTTTGTAATTTGTCCTTTCCACACATCTCATGAACACAACAGTCTCTACAGCAGAATCAACTTTTATGTTATTAATTAATTATTTTTATGTGTTGTCATCCTTGTCATTTTATTGAACAATTCATTTTTTTAATTGTGGTGTCACCCTAGAATTTTACTGTTTTTGCATATTGAGTCAGAGAAGCTTCTAATAAAAGGTTGACTCAGCTGAAGAGACTGTTAGGTTCGTGAGGTGTATAGAAAGGACATATTATGAAAACATTTATTGTTAATTTTATTTTATTGGATGTTTTTACAGTTTTTATTGTTAAAAATTTTATTATTAAATTTTATAATTTAAATAACACTTAAGTTTCCAGAATGTGGCCTAAAGAAATTAAAATTGGGAAAGTCCTGTTAACTAAGAAAAAATTACATTAATAAGTAATCTAAGATGAGGAAAAGATACATATAATTGCTAAATAATGGATTTATTATTGTCATCATTTAATCATATTGAAATTATTAGCATACAAGGTCTGGTTAGTTCAGTTGGCACAAGTCTTGCAATGATCAGCAGTTGAACCTATTATCCAGTAGGCAGCTGGTTTGTTCTTAATCATTTGATAAGGTAAATGGTTAACTTGAAATAACTTATTGGGTTTTACAACCAACTACCAAAATATAATTGATAAGATTTATTAGTAACTGTAATAAGCAAACTAAATAAGTGAAAAGAATATTTCTCAGAGAGTATATCACATTTATTCATAAATTAATTTTATTATTTGTAACTTAATAGTTTTTATAGATCAGCTAAACATCAGCTAAACAGCTTTTTACAAATATATTTTATATTAGATTTTTCAGTTTAGTTAACAGAAATCTATGTGGGTAGAAGCATGTTTTATCAAAATTTTGTTATATACAGAATGTCTGTTTATAATATTATCAGGAAATATCTTGAAAAATATGCATTCTACAAAAATGTTCCAGACCAAATTTGTTTGATATCAAGGAGGATACAAAATGGCACTATAAGTTTAATCATAGATGGTGCTACTGTTGCTGAAAATGAGGTCATCATCATTTTCTCCAATTTTTTATTGCATATTCTAATTCTACGTTAAAAATTAATAACCTTTTATTTAAAACATTTTTTCAAGAGATGTAATTATCAGAAGTTATAAGTGTTTGAAGTTATGACTTTGTTTCTAGACACTGTTTGTAAATGGCATTTTATTGGAAGTATTGAATTAATTGAAAATAGTAGAATATGTTTTATGATTGCAGGAAAAATTGACATGTAATAAAGTTTTAAAATAGCTATACACACCTAATATTAATAGAAAAAAGATAACGTATACGACTCTCTGTTGACGTTATGTAAAAATAATTTATTTTGAAAGTACTTTTGATGGTATATAACTGTCTTATTCAGGCAGACATCAAAACATATTTTAAATAATGTTTAAAATAAAATGTTAGGGCCTATATTTTATTTTTTTGTTTTTAATTTGGATTGAATTTAACGAACATTGGATTTTGTTCGTTTTTGATAGATATTCGAATTTTTATTTTTCTGCGATTGTGTTCTATCACAAAACAAGATTTACTTGAAGCAGGACTTTAGAGGAGCCCAAAAATATTTGTGCAGTGTACATATTACCGATACTGGACAATAGGTTTATAGTGAGATTTATAAAGAATGTATTTTAATTACAATATAACAGAAGAAATACTACATACTTAGATACAGTTTTGACATGATGATGTGTATTGAAATAATACTTTTAAAATAAATTTAACAGTAACAAACACTTTCTGTACTATGGATGAAGAAGATATCTGCTTTGATGTTGTATTTTATCTGGATTTTGTGGATGCTACATTTATTATTACAAATAATTGTTGTAATCTGTGGATCATCTAGTGATTTTTATAATGTGATTTGAAAGTAATTTGTATTGGATAATATATGGATATATATAAGGATGATACAAATAAAATGAACTAGTCCCATAACTTAGGAATGACTAAAGATCAGGGAATTGAATCAATTATGGCTAAACAAGATGTATATATATCCAAAAGTTGATTAGTGTGTTCAGAAAACTCAGATTATGGGGCTCTATGTGAAATTTCTTGCCAATGTCCAATGCTTTATGGGATCAAAAATGGTACCATTGGAAGATACATGAAAATCTAAACAAGGCTTATTCTTGGGTAATTTTTAATAACTTGAGTTGTTGAGTAAAATAAATACAAACATGTACTTACCACTTCATCTACCACAATGGTGACTGTAGCCATGAGCATCTGTTGTGGTCATTATGGTCAGTTTTAACAGCACAGTGCTATACAAAACTTTTAGAACATTCTTTGTTAAAATTATTGTAAGTTTGTCAAAGAGTGTTCTAAAAAGTTACAAGAATAATAATATAATTATAGAAATGTTGAAGTTGCAAACTACTATTCTATTTCAGCCATTGTATGAGCATATTATATGTACTGTACATCTAGACTTGTAAACTTGTCAAATTTTTAACACATTTTTATTGTAATAATAATTATGAACCAAAATATAAATAATATCATGTATAATCTGATTTTAATTTATAAAATTTTGGTTTTGTTAATTTCAAAGATAATTAATCAGTGAACTAATTATAATGATATATCTATTTATTCCAGATATCTTTTTAGTAAAATTGTAATAACAAGAATGGGGGATTTAATAGGCTCTGCAAGTTTTCTTCATATTGGAGACATTGTCTCCTTATATGCTGAAGGAGGAGTCTGTGGTTTTCTGAGTACTCTTGGGTAAGTTTTGTTATTTATGTCTACATTAATATTTCAATATTTCTAAAGAAATGTATACTATTTTATGGATACTTAATTCTAATAAAACTAAACATTATTTAAACAGAATATTTACATTATTACATTACATTAACTTATTATATTACTTATTTCTAAAAAATGAATTAATTTGTAGACTGAACCTTAATAACTAGGAGTTCTTTTGCTATCATTTTTAGCTGCATCATTGAATTTGTATGTCTGTTCTTCAAAAGCTTGGGATAAACTCTGAATCAAATCATGAGAGTTTTGAAAGTACAGTATCTATATATTTGTAACATGGTAACTGTATATTTTAAAGTACTTGGGTATGGGAGTACTGTACCTGTATATTTGTAAAGTTGAAAAACTGAAATTTAGGGTTATGATTTAAATTTCCTTTGTTTGTTAAAAAACAAAATATTTATGAAAGAAATTCCAAATATTAAAATTAAAATAGGTTTTTTTTTATTCAAGCATTTTATATAATTTAAGCATCTAATATATTAGAATAATCTTTCATCCAATGTTGACTATTTAGTGTCATCCAACCAAACAGTTATTTACTATTTTTATTTGAAGACTTCCACATTGCTACAGTGATGAAAAAATACATTGTTTTATCTACTTTTGATAACATTTAACTTTAAAAATAATTCAATTTTATTGAAGATTAAATTTTGTTTTGATGATGATGATAGTGATAAAATCTCTTCAGTGTAAAATGAAATGACATATTTCAGTGCAAGATAGCTAAGAAAATGATAATTTGATATTTATTATCTTTATATAATTTTATAACATATAATGAAGTTTATTGGGAAAAGTCAAGGCTTGGTTCAATGGCATATAATTTTAGACAGCAAATAAATTCATACAATTGTTATTCTTTATATTTAACATAAAACTTAATACAGTTACATATTGTTAAGATCTTAGCATGTAAAGATCTCTAATCATAAAATTTGCTGTTTAATATCTAACAAAGAATTGGTTTAACAGTTCAGACTGGACACCTGGTCAGTTAGATGGGCTGGACACGTCCTGCCCATCTAACTGACCCGAACAAAAGACATCCCCGAATCTTGCGCCCACACATAAGTGTAACCTGATTGGTTCCAGATTGGACCCGATCATTAGATTTTCACTTGTGCAAAAACAACCGACTCAACACTACCCCTTTTAAGAGGGAAAAAATTGGGCGAATTGGCAGTTTATGCTGCATAATAGTTCTTTCGAGAAGGGTTGATTTGAAGCCATCCAGTCAGGATTTGAGTGTGGGCTGATCGACACAGACGCTGTGATGCTAATTTCTTGGGCAGGTTTCTCTTCAAAGGTGCATGGTCTCTCGAACAGCGGGGACTCATTGTCCTATTGGGCTGGTCTCTTAACCAGATGTGTTAAGTCTGAAGTCTGAGAGGGACATAATGGGATGGAGAAGGCTTCTGCAATGACGGCGAAGGGGTCATTCTTGGGCTGCAATCGGGAAGATTGTCTCTGTATGAGTTGATTGGTGTGAAATCAGCGAGTTGATCTGTCGGTCATTTTCACTTCATAGATGGTGTTTCCGGTTTTGCGTTTGTTCTTCCTGGCTGCTAATTTTGGGCACGTCGATGTTGTGCAAAGTCAATCTCTTTAGTTGTGAAATTTTGTTCTTGGGCTCCATGCTTGCAGTTGAATTGCTTCTTTATTTTGATGTTGCACTCTGTTGGATATTTTGGTGGCAACAATAGGTTGAGAGAATCTTGCGTCCGAAGAAGAGTTTGGTTGGAGATTTGCTGTCTGGTAGAGCCAAGTTTGGAGTTATTCAATAAGTCTCCAGAAATATGTCCAGAGCACATTGTATATTTCCCTCACTTTTAACTTAAAGAAAGCTCACTTCAGTGTGTCTACGAACTGTTCTGCCTGTCTGTTGAATTGTGGATGATAGAGCGGTGAAAAGATGTTTGATTCCATGTTGGTCACAGAATCTTTTAAATTCGTATGAGCTTAACTGCGTTCCATTATACTGACGAGAAATTCTGGCAGTCTGTGACTAATGAGGAGTTTCTGCAGCATACTGATTGTTGTGAGGGACATAGTTTTGTCCATGCTGATAATTTCCAGATACTTTGAGTAGGCATCCACTACAATGAGAAAACTTTGGCCCTGGTAAGGTCCTGCATAGTCGATGTGGATATGCTGCCATAGGTTAGCAGGTTTCAGCCAAGAGAATAGTTCGGAACTTACTGGTTGTTTGGCTGCTGCAATACATGGAGAGCACTGTTGCACAGTTGATTCGATGTTGAGGTCTATATGCAGCCAATAAACATAGTTACAAGCTAGGGATTTCATGTGTCGGATGCTTGGTATCCACGATGTAGAAGTTTTGAGTACCCTACGTTGCAGTACTGTGGGGATGATAATGTGTTCATTATAGAGGAGATATCCCTTTTTGACATTGAGTCCATCATGTTGATGATAGAATTGCTGAATTTGAGCCCAGTCGGTGAACTCTCGAAGCTTGATTATGTGAGTTTGGAGTGGAACTATTAGATGCAATATGAATGATTAACATAGCTTAGAATGAAATTCCACAAAGCATCTCATTGCAAATTGCTTTACAATAACAGATTTCAATTAACAATTTGTTGTAGTTTTGAATAAATCAGAATTCATCTAAATATATAAAATTACTTGTCCTGACTGACTGACTGAGTCACTGATTGATTCATCATTGCCCAGAGCAAACCTCTGAAGCTAAAGAGGTGAAATTTGGTATACAGTTAGGGTATGTCATGAAAATGCACACTAAGAAGGAATTTTTGAAAATTCCCCCGTGTGGGAAGAGGGAGAGGATTAAGGCTTAACCTGAAGAACAGCTTCTACTGTACTATTTTAGATGCAATTTTTTGTTTTCAACTACATTTAGTCTTCATTGAGTACTTAGGTGTATTAAATTGATAACATTTCAGACATTGTTATAAATATTTTTATGTATTTCAATTTTTTAATCAAATGTTTGAATCATTTTAAATTCAAATTTGTTATTGCATATTGGTTTGATTATAAAATGATTGTAAATGTTCCAGAAAATTGATCAAATTGAAAATAGTTTGATTCTCAGCAATTCTCATTATTCTCAGCGGTAGGTGTTATATAACAATTACTATGGTTGTTGAAATACTGAATATAAATGGGGTTTGCTTGCAAAATTTGCATGGGCGAAGTAGTGGGTAACAGCTAGTTGACTATATGGAAGAAGACTGGATTGATTTTATCACAGCAATGAATAATGAAAACATGTTATTTAACTATTTTATCAATGTTGACAGTGATTCAGCTGCTGCAGGGTTATTATCACTATTGAAAATGATCCTATATCTGAAGACATCAAGAATCAAGTGCAAGAAACAAGCAATGAAGAGTAGAAAGAAATAAATTCTGTTAGGAACAAATATCCTGCTTTTTCTACATGTATAGAAGCCAGAAAAGCTTTCATGCTTTTAAGAGGCTTTCTAGAAACTACATTCATATAACAAGATGCTTTTGAGGCAGTTGACTATATCAGAAGCATTAATAGGCAAGAAACAATGAATATTTGATGACAACTTATGTAGCAGACTTTTTCACAAATAGTGTGAATGTTTTATTTTGTAAATACACGTATTTAAAAAATAATAAGATGTAATGTAAATCTAACTATATTGTTTGCATAGTAAAATTTACAATTTCATTAAAATAATGGTAGTTTTTGTAGCTTTATGATTGAATAACTGAAAGTTTTCTCTCTTCTTTCCACATTGCATTATTGAGAGTTTACTATATAAAATGATAAAGATGAAAGATTTTATTTTGGATATTTCTTGTTTCTTTTAATATTTATAATCAATTTTTCTTTTCATTTATTTATATACCATTGTTTTTTAATTTATTTCATTTAAAATTTTCCAATATATGGTTTTGACATAATGATCTTTAATCATAGCCATTTTGTATCATACATTTAAAATATTTATGTATTTAACATTATCTCTATAAAACAATGATCAGATTATTATTAGAAATCTTTATCATAACTTGTAGGAAAACATGAAACTATCAATTTATGTTTTATTTTTATTGATTCTTTTAGTTTAATTATTTACATATAGTCTAGTTTAAATTAGTTTTGAATCTGAAAAGATCTGATGTCAGTTATTTACGACACACAAAGCACACTTTCTGTTAAATACTTGTAGAATTAATATTTTTCGTTCTGTATTTTTCAACAGACTTGTTGACGATAGATGTGTTGTACAACCTAATGCTGGAGATCTTGCTACTCCTCCAAAAAAATTCAGAGGTAAGAAATTTTAAATTATAAGTATATTAAAAAGTAAGTTATATTTTTATGACTATATGAGATTATATTCTTATGATAGATTGCTCTTAAAAATAAAAAATTATATTTGTGATTTAGTTATTTATTTATAATGGAATCAAATATTTTAATAGTAAATTTCTAAAGAATAGTGCTGAACATTGGAAATTTTTGAACTGAGGTATCTGGTTTTTATCTGTGTACTTAAAATAAGTAGGATAATCCTTGGTTTTAGACATTTTATACCCAAAGGTATACAGTTTCCTTGATTTTTAAAATTCATATTTACATTTTTCTCTTACAATTTTAACAAAGATGGACTCTTTATGAAAAGAACATTAAAAAGTAATTAACTATTATGACTACATAATTATTTCATTATTACTTTATTAATAATTACTTCAATAATACTTTTATATAAATATTTCTTCTTCTGATTTATATAAAACTAATAATTGTGAGAGCATGCATGAACAAGAATTTGCACAAGGTAGAGATTCTTTGAAATTTCAGCTGATTCATTCTTTTAAGCACATAAGTAATCATCAACTTAAACAATTTTAAAAGTTTTATGTCAAGTATACAATTTATTGACATAAATAACACAAAGTTAAATAAAATTTCTAAAAAAACTTTTGGATTGTATGAAAAAATTTCTTTAAAAATTTAACAGAAAGTTATTTATCTAAATATATAAAATTACTTGTCCTGACTGACTGACTGACTGAGTCACTGATTGATTCATCATCACCCAGAGCAAACCGCTAAACCTAAAGAGGTAAAATTTGGTACACAGTTAGGGTATGTCATGAAAATGAACACTAAGAAGAGATTTTTCAAAATTTCCCTGCGAGGGAGAGTGAGAGCATTGAGGCTTAACCAAGAGAATGGCTTTTACTGTACTATTTTAGATGCGATGTTTTGTTTTTATCTGCGATTTAGTAGGGTACACCATGAGAATGCACACTAAGAAAGGATTTTTTGAAATTCGCCCGTGGGGGTAGAGGGAGAGTATTAAGGCTTAACCAGGAGAATGGCTTCTACTGTACTATTTTAGATGCAATTTTTTGTTTTCAACTACGTTTAGTCTTCATTGAGTACTTAGGTGTATTAAATTGATAACATTTCAGACATTGTTATAAATATTTTTATGTATTTCAGTTTTTTAACCAAATGTTTGAACCATTTTAAATTTGAATTTGTTATTGCATATTGGTTTGATTATAGAATGACTGTAAACGTCCCAGAAAATTGATCAAATTGAAAATAGTTTGATTCTCATTATTCTCAGCGGTAGGTGTTATATAACAATTACTATGGTTGTTGAAATACTGAATATAAATGGGGTTTGCTTGCAAAACCCTGTGGGTGAAGTTGTGGGTAACAGCTAGTACCTCATATAATAACTTTTAAAACCCTAAGTAAAATTTTGTTGTGTATTTTAAAACATGCATTTTATTAGTTCTAAACCTGATGATGATTATTGAAAATAGAGGAAACGTTTGTTTTTCATTTAATTAAATCTAATTCATGCTGATTTTCAGTAAATACATACAGTGGATAATCAGTTAATGAACAAATCGGATAACGAACACTTTCATGAAAGATTTTTATGTTCGGACAACAAACATATGATCAGATAATGAACACCTCACAGAACAAACACAAGAAGAAGCGACATAAAATAATGAATACTGATTGGTCTTCCCTTGTCTTCAGACAGCAATTCAAAACTTTTTGGAAAGCGGGAGACATCGAAATCGACGCTCAACTTGGTATATACTGATCGGATTGTATTCCTCCGAACATATAAATATAAATATGAACACACCTGAATTCTACTTGCTGAGTTTCTTTCTCTTTTTATTCAAACGTTTTCGTCCTATTTGGATAGGCCATCCTCAGGCTTTTCTTTATCGTTCCAAATTGGAACCATTCGTTCGAATGAAAAAAGTCGGCAAGTAGAATTCAGGTGTGTTCATATTTATATTTAGCATTTGCTGAGAAGGAGAGAGATAATAATTCCTCTGAACTTTGAAACTCTCCCTTGTAATTTCAGCCTTTTATTTTTCTGACAAAAACAATTTTTTTATAGTATTCGTGAGACTGTTTGTTTATTAGAAAACTGACCAATGGAAAGATCCACCAAATCTCTACAAATATTATAGTGTACAATAGAGAGCCTTGTCACCATGCTCCTTGTGTGGTAATATAACATACGATTAAAGATAGACTTTTATAAATCTTTTTCACAATATTGTTCTCTTATGTGGACTGCTGCTCTAAAATGCTATTGGCACAGTGCTTGTTTAAACAAACTGCTCTGCTAACTGGTGCTCTGTTACCAGGAGAATCTCACAATGTAAAACAGGGGAGAAAATCAGGAACATGGGAAAGCACTCTCTTAAGCCAAATTCCCCCTTATCTGGTGCTCTGTTAAGTGGACTCAACTGCATGAAATTAATTATGCTTAACTGATTATTAATGATTTTATATTGATCTCAAATTACTTCAGTTGGTATTAATCAATAGATGTTAAATGACATAAAGTTAAACATGTTATTTGAAATATTTCTAAAATTTATAACATTTCATATAACATATATAAATCATTAAAATGATTCAAAAGACTGACTTCAAATGCTCTGTTGACACTATCTCTATCCTAGAATATCCTAAAATGTCAACAGAGCATTTTTTAAAATATTGACATTTATTCTAGGATAAATGTAAATATTTTAAAATTCTATTAAAATATGTGTTTAAAAATGCTAAAAATATTAATGTTAAACATTTATTTTATATGTTTCAGACTGTCTATTTAAAATGTGTCCAATGAATAGATATTCAGCTCAAAAACAATTCTGGAATGCTGCAAAGCAAAATACTGCTGCTGATAGTGACACAGCATTAGTGAAAAAGTTGTTGGTAGGTATAACTAATTTGTGAAATAATAGATGAATTGAAATAAAAGAAAATTATGATATTAATTAATATATTTAAAAAATTTCTTATATTGATATATTAGAATTATATTATAGTTACAATCTTTGTGATTACTCAGGATTTATTTCTTCATAATTTGAAGTTTGGACTATTTACAAAAAGTCAAAATTAACTTTTGAATCCATCTTTATCCTTATTACACTACCATAGAAGTAACAGTCACAAAAAATTTTCTGCTTTGAAGAACTCTTCTTAAAACACAGGTAAAAATTGGTAAAAAATCACAATGGTTAAAAAAGATCAAGTGTCAGCCTTTCTCTGTAGGTTCTGACACTTTTACAATTAAAAAACACAAAGAAATTCTTCACACTATCATTTTTATCCATTCTTTTAAACTGCTTCTGGCCCTCTAGTGGTAGTTACGAGTATCTACGTTATTTGCTTCTAGTTACAATTTTTGTGATAACTCGGTATGTATTTTCTCCATAATTGAAGTTTAGACTATTTACAAAAACTGCTTCTTCTATGGTGGTGTAAAAGAAATAAAGATAGACTCGAAAAGTTATTTTTGACTTTTTGTAAATAGTCTAAACTTCAATTATGATCGAAGATATTATCATATATTTTGATTTTCAATATTCTCGCTTAGTCACAACATTTCTCTTGTCACGTCCCACAGATTTTCAAAAAAAATGATAAGTTCTGCTTAGTATAATCCACCAATAAGGCAGTAATTAGAAAGTGTTACAGAACAATAAATTAAAATTTATATTTTCATAATAAATAATTAAAGTATTTTCGAAATATTAAATTTTCTCAATTAGGTATTCGTTTAGATTTAGAATACCAGAACATATAGAATGAAGAGAACTTCCCATCTGAAATAAAGCAAACACTTTTAGAAGTATGGCGATTATATAAGTAATAAAAGTAAACGAACTGGCAGAACTCACTTTTATGGGAAATTTTTTGGTCACTTTGAAGTAATCTCTAACAGTCAAACACAAAGATTCTTTACCAAATCTCTTCATAAAATTCAAAATCTGTTTGATCAATTATTAAAAATATTATATGTTAATTATGAAACAATGAAATAAATAAATAAACCAACAGTTTAATATAGTACAGAACCAAATATCTGTTTTNGAAAGGCTGACACTTGATCTTTTTTAACCATTGTGATTTTTTACCAATTTTTACCTGTGTTTTAAGAAGAGTTCTTCAAAGCAGAAAATTTTTTGTGACTGTTACTTCTATGGTAGTGTAATAAGGATAAAGATGGATTCAAAAGTTAATTTTGACTTTTTGTAAATAGTCCAAACTTCAAATTATGTAGAATTATATTATTAATTTTTAAATCTAATGGTTTCTTATTAATTTTGCCTAAGAAAAAATTAAACATTAATTATTCTTTAATTTTAATGTAATATGTGAATTGTCTTTTTTACTTTGACTTATATCTACTACTATTGATCAAGAGGGTGTTTATCAATTGAAAGACATTTTAGACATGTTAGAAGAGCTTGAGTGTATTGAAGAGCTAGCAGTGGAATGTGGATACTCAAGGATGATACAATGATTAACAAGTAAATATTTGAAAGAACATCTTCAGGCACAAAATAGACAACAGTAATATGTCCAGGAAGCATCCCACCATCTGAAAGTTGATTGTATTAAGTCTATTGGAAGTATTTATGGCAAAATTGTTAGATACTCCAATGACATATCATTTATTGCTGGTACCCAGCCATATATAAATTGTTACAGGACAATAAAGATAATATAAGCACTTCAAAGCCCAGATTTCTCTAACAGATGAGACAGTGTGCATTCATTCGATATATAGGAATTACCAACAGAACAATAGCTATCAGATTAAACAAATGTAATATAAAACCAAAATCTGATATGTTAACATTTCAAATGCATGTGATATTCAAATTATGAAAAAATAGAAAAAAAAAAACATTTAATCTGTGAAATTGTTTGAAATTTGAAAAATGAACATAACACATATAACAAATATAAACTGGAAGTAGAATAAGTTAAAAAATAAACTACACCAATATAAATCCAGCAAAATTTAATAAAATAATAATGGTTTCAACCGTTTTTCAACGATCATCCTCAGTTACCAAAAATAGAATATTAAATATAGAACATAAAATGCGTTTGAAATAAATATAAAAAAAGAAAAATTAACGGAAAACGCCCTAGTGGACGAATTAAAGAAAAATTAATAAACAAACAAAATAAATAGCAAAAAATTAATAATTGTAAAAGGACCTCCATGCATTAGACCAGGCATGGCCAACATATGGCCCGCAGGCCAGAACCGGCTTGTCTAATGAATTTATGTGGCCTGCGATCAATCTGTCAATATTAGGTATTGAAGTTTGAATAGATTGATGAAAAATTCTGACGCCTAAAAAGAAAGGTCAACAACTCAATGTGTGTTTAGAGTTAACCCTCCATTACAAATCTCTTAAGTACAGCGTAGAGTGTTGATAAAGCATGATAATGTGAAAAATGAATCTGCAATCTCTATCTACAATTCAGTCTCTACAGAATGACACCACAATGAGATCTCTCACCACCTCAAAATCTTCCTAGGGCAGCCTCTAATTCAGCCCATGGAAAAAGTTTTCTTTCCAATCCGGCCCATTGGCAAAAACTGTTGGCCACCCCTGCATTAGACAATGAGTCTGCATCTCTATGGTTTATACAACCGGTTCCCATTTGCAGCTTATAGATTTCCAATCTTTCAAGATGTTTGATTGTTTGCCTATTAGTCGTTGTTTTTATAATTGCTGCCTGATCCCATTGCACGTTAACATCCTGTTGCCTTGCGTACGATGCTAATGCAGTGTTATCAAGTTCCTACTGATTGTATATTTGTGTTTCTTAAGCCTTTGTTTTAAACTGAGCATTTTCGCACCCACATAGACCCACAGCTTGGAATCGAAATGTTGGTCATGTAAAGGCACTGAATATATACTTGTTGTTGAATTCTGATCCTCTTTCTTTTTATTGTTTCTTAAAAGTTTGAAAATAGTGGGATTACGTCGGTATGCAATGCAAAAGTTATTAGACCTGGCAGTAGATCTATGTATCTTGTTCAAAAATGGGATGTAATTAAGCACTATTCATTTATTACAGTCAACCCTGGGAGAATGCTGTGCTGTGGATTGGAAGGATGAAATAAGACACACTATCTCTTCCTTTCAGTATCCATGTAGTTGGGCTACCTTAAGAATGTACTCTAGCTCTTTTATCGTGTCATCTTATCACTCTCTATTCTATTTTTGGTAACTGAGGATGATCGTTGAAAAACAGTTCAAAACATTATTATTTTATTAAATTTTGCTGAATCAGTGTAGTTTATTTTTTAAAATGAACATAATCTGACAATGTTGGTTTAGATCACTGAAAACATGTTCTCCGTACAAAGTCACAAATATTTGCTGAAATTTCAGTATGTAATTTATTATTAATATATCCAGTTATAGTGAGGTGTTATATGTTAAGTATAAAATCAGATGATATGCCATATTATTGGGTTATAATAAGGCTAAGTTAATAATTACATATGAAATCATCTGTATAGAGCAGGGCTTCTTAAACTTTTTTTATTCATGACCCCATTTATGATTGTGATTTTTTCGCGACCCCCTCCCCCCCCAATATATATATATATATATATATATATAAAATAAAGATACTGTATATACAAATTTGCTAAAACAATAATGGTGTACTACCACAGTCACTCTTGTGTGGAACAGTACAATGGAACAGAGACAACTGAATACACTGAAAAGCAACAATACTACACTAGTTCACACTACAATCAGTGTTGTTGAATTATTGTCTCGCTGCACCAGAAGTGACACAAAGCCCAACTCACGAAACCTGACACAAAGCATGCCATTTTCAAACTCTCACAAATTATTTTCAATATTTTGCATTAAAATCTCACGACCCCAAGATTTTGCTAAGCGACCCCAAATGGGGTCGTGACCCATAGTTTAAGAAGCCCTGAGGTAGGTGGTTAAGCTGTCATCTCATGAATATTTTAATAATTAAAATAAATTAATTTTGGCAGATCATTTGGCTTTAATCAAAACTTGAGTTTGTGGAGTTGTTTATATATACACTCCTCAAAAGTGAAATCGCAACACCACGAAGGAATGCATGTAGCCACATGCAAATTGCAGGACCAGTAGAGGTGACAGATGTGCAAATGAGATAATTTGTGTTTGTATTGGTATCCAGTTTTTGGCTATAAAGACCAGCAGCCATCTTGGGTTGTAAATGCTATCAGCTATGGTTTGCAGCAGCTGAATTTTTTCAGAAGCATAGAAAATGTCTCAGACAACAGCAAGCTGAATACCACCAGTTAACATCTGAGGAATGAAACCAAATCCTGGAGCTGCATAACTTTAGTTCATTGATGTGTGCAGTTGTCACGCATGTTGGGCATGACATGAGTACCATCCAACAATGTATGACATAATGGATACAAGAACATCTGGGAATATACCAAAGAGGGAGTGCATTGCACAGACTGGAAGATTAACCAAATGGCCTATTGGGGCCATTTGCTATGGCATGTGACATTGAAAGCCACTTGTCGCCATCAACAGGTGCATCTGTGTCCACCCAAACCATTTGCAACAAGTTGCATGAATATAAACTGCAAGCATGGCAACCAGTAATGGATGCCATTAACTGCTTGACATAGCACTGTACACTTGGTGTGATGTCATCATTGTATTTGGACCACTGAATGTCATTGGGTATTGTTTATGAATGATATGGCTGAGGAGGAATGATGGCCATGGATGGAAGTGGTGGCACTCTATGTGCCAGTCACATATCTTGGAAAACACTATGTGCCAGCTCTTTTCACCAAACATCACATTGGGCATCATGTTTGATCAGTGAACAGATCTGGTGCACATTTCCAGTGCTCTGACAGCAGACCAATATGTCACACGAATTGTGGGATCTGTGGTTTGGCCACTAGTGCAGGCTGCATCTGACATGGTGTTCCAGCAAGATGATGCTTGATCACATGTTGGCATTATCTTGCATGTCAAGAGTTCACCAGCCTGAACAGAATTCACATCCTTTCCTGGATAGTAGCCTCACTGGATCTCTCTCCCATTGAACACATGTGGGACCTTGTCTGACATGACGTGCACCAGGGATCATTACCACATATCATAGACAATATGTGTGCCTCAGTAGATGCAGCTTGGCAAGGGATGCCTCAGGTAACCATTAATCATTGCATTGATAGTATGTCATATAGTGACCTGTATAGCTGCCTGTGGGGGCCATATTTGTTTCTGAATAAACAGATGTCTGTTGCGTATCTTTGTTTGTTCTTTTAATCATTTGCATAACTCTTGTCACCTCTATTAGTCCTGCAATGTGCATGTAGCTATGCACATTCCTTTGTGGTATTGTCATTTCACTTTTGAGGAGTGTATTAAAGCCTAGATCCCACACTACCTAAAAACACAACTGAAAATGATATAATTTATTTTTATGTTTTCAGTTTGACAGAAATTTGACCAAAAACAAATTTGAAAATATTTTAATATTTTATTTCTGCTCAATTTTTAGTTGTACTTTAACTAATAATAAGCTATTATTTATTGTGACATCACCACAGTGCCAGGATGCAATTTTTAATCATATTTTTAATAATTTTTTAATTGAAAATATATGCTCTCCATCTCAAATTAGTAGCATCTTGTCCCTGTACATCATACTTTTCTGTTAGCAATAATCATGCCAGTCATCTATCTAATTCCTTTCAGGAGAAAATTTTTAAATTGAAATAACATAACTTTTGTTTTGGACTGGAAGTTCATATATAGTTAATCAGGGCCTCCTGCCTTTAATCTTTCCATATTTAGTCTTTGTGTTCATCTATCTAACTGTTCTTCAGATTAAGGAAAGTTGGACACAGATGGACAACAGTGGGAATTTATAGATCTACAATTATTTCAAATTGCAGCCCAATAAAGCATTTCATAAGTAATTTCACAAAATGGAAGTTTTCTTGTTGACTTAAATAATTGTACTTGTCATTACACATTCTTTGATAATCCTATTCTTAAGAAGTGGAATTTTGTAGATATCATTTAACTTTTTGCAAAGAACCCAAGAAATGATACAAATCATATTTTGAAATTAAAGATGTGAAAGCTCTATACAGAGAAAATAAAACAAAATAAGAAAAATTCTACACAAGACAAATAACAGTTTACAACTAGATTGATGGATTTTGTTTATCACATAAAATAACAATTAATACGAGGCATGTCCTGAAAGTAAGTACCGTTTTGGAAAAACTCGCATAAAAAATATTTTTTCAAAACAAAATTTATTTTTACATGAAAGAGCATGTCTGAAACTATTTTTCTACATAGTTACCACCATTGTTCAGACATTTGTCATATCGGGAAACCAACTTGTCTATACCCTCTTCAAAGAAAGATGCCGCCAGTGAAGACAGCCACTGCTGAACATCAGTTGTTGCAACAATCTCATGCAAAACAGTATTTGAAATTTGTGGAAACTCATCACAAAGCAATCTTATTGTGAACCGTCTGTTTTCAAGAATTTTTTCATTCACTTTTGCAACCAAACCATCATTGACAACAGAAGGCCAGCCACTCCATGCTTCGTCATGAACATCAGTGCGTTCAGCATTGAATTGTCGAACCCACTTTCTAACCATTCCATCATTCATTGCATTTTCACCATAAATCTCTACAAGTTGACGATGAATTTCAACTGGCTTAACATTCTTTGCGTTCAAAAACCGTATTACAGAATGCACTTCACAATCGGCGGGATCGGCAATAGTCTTAAACATTTTGAACGCTCACTAACACGTGGAAAAACAACACAATCCATCTGTAATAGCATCATTGGACTGACAATCAACCAGAGAGACGTGTGCGCAGGTGCTGAACTGCGATACTACCACTGCAATGGTGGTAGAACGAAACAGTACTTACTTTCAGGACACGCCTCATACAAGATCTAAATAGTGCCATTTGATAGCTCAAAAAATGATCCCGTTTTTCAAGTTTTATTTTTACTTTATATATTTCATGATTAGTAATTTGTTTATTAATTACAGTATATTGTTCACTTTAATTAATATTCAAGTGGATTGTAATGGAAACATTTTATAAATTTCCAAAGGTCTCTTGTTAATCTCGAAAAATTTTTAAATATTTGATGTTTTATTTTGTTTAGCATGCAGCAGAATTAGAAAAAAAGCAAAATGAATCTGAAAATAAGAAGTTGATTGGCACTGTAATTCAGTATGGCGGAGTAATTCAGGTATTTTTATATATTTTATTTTCTACTTTTATATATTAGATATAAATATATTTGTAATTCAAATAACTTATATAAGCCAATTTATTTTTTTATAGGAAAAAGTTTTATAGTTATCATAAAAACTCAAACTTTACATTACATTATTTTACAATATTTGTTGAATTGAAATCTGGTTTTTAATCCAGAATTCAATTAAATGTGAAATTTTATACTAATATAAAATTGTATTACATTTATTTTATCCTTGTTATATTCAATACCAGTCTTGGTTTGCTAGATGTTATTCATTTTGTAAAGTACTATATTATTTTTCTGCCTTTTCCAATGATTATCGACACGACTTTATGTTGGAAATAGCCATTACCTAATGGGTATTTTACGCGGATTTGCATTAATATGCCAGGCCTGGACTTTAAGCATGCACCGAATTAAATAATGACAAAGTTAGTCAAAAACAATCCAATATTTAATAAAAATTCTAGTAATAACTATATACAAAATTTAGTAAAAATCAAATAACAATTTATTCAACGTAAATCAATAAGAATCAACCCGACAAAACTCAAATCAATCTATTTTCTAACTTAACTATTTCCCTTTGGAATTTGACAAAAAATTCAAAGACTTAACTTATGTACAATAATTCTTATGAATTAAAGATCCAAATCATAACCTCAATATACTAGGAACCTTTTTCCTCAACTCTCAAGACTTTCTCTAATCTTCGATCTACAAATTGAATAACTTCAAAATCGCCTTGGAACTACTTTATCCTATCGGACACCTCTCTCTCGTTTGCTGATACGAAGCTCACCTTGGTCATCTTCACTTGAGGTTCGGTCTTTATACTGTGAGGTGACGTCACAATTCTGAGTGAGATCACTCCTTTCATTTACATACTTATTGCTAACAATAAACTTTTCCTGTTTGCCTGGCAGCCTATTTTCCGACAATACTCGCTAACCTTTTACATTATTCTTTTTGACAATTTTCTCATAAACTTATCCAGTAGTTTTTTCTTTATCTAAAACTTATCAAGAATGTCTTAAAAAATGTGAAAATACTTTTTGCTCGACATTCATCTGTCATTGTGATTTTTTATTGAAACCACTGAAAGCACATATGCTTTACCATTAGTTCTCTGCTGTTTGTTTTCTGTATATTAATCCATGTTTTAATTGATATTATTAGACACTCTTATTTGAACTTGTACCTTGAAGCCAATAAGTTTCCAGTAATTCTGTTTCTCTATATAATGACATTCTGAAACTTTAGAAATTGACTGACTATTTTATCATATGTTAGGTCTTTGTAGTGAACAAGAGTTAAGCAATCAATTCTTTAACATGTGTCTTTGGATATTGTAGCATCTGTGTTTAACATTATTAATAAAATTAATAACAATGATATTAATAGAAATTACTTTATATATCACTTATTTACATTTTAAAAAATTCATTATTTAGCAGCTATTTTATATTTTTGACATATTGTAGCTCAGGAATGTGAGATCAGCCAAGGGTATAGAATACTGTGATTCGATACCACTTATTCGGCAACTGATCGTTGGATCAGTTCTCGGTTGTCTACAAAGATGGCTATTACTCCGAGTAGACTTATGATTGGAGTGAGGAAAAGAGGGTAGAGACTTACGATTGCAGGATCTTGTCTCCTTCTTGTCAGGTTCCCAACACCAGATAGTCAATTTCACAGGCTATCATGCAGTTACTTCTGATTATTTTTACTAAGAGGTTGCGTTAAAATTAAGAGGAGGGAATCTTTTGACTCAGTCAGTAATGAGGCCATTTTTATATAAATAACAAAGAATATTTAATAAACCACAAAAAAAAAATAAAAAAATGGAGATTACAACTATGCTAAATTTCCTATCTTGCGGAGAGAGAGATTACAATTTTTTTAAATCATAATATCTCACAAAGGTTCCTTTTATAATTTGGGCTTTTTGTTTGAGATTCAATATTCAAAAAAAAATATTTAATATATTTAAGTCATTCTGTATCTTTTGCACTTGACAGTAGTTTGTTTGTTTTTTTTAACTGAGTTTGCTTTAAAAAAAAAAGTAAAATTAGAATGCACGCATATTTATATATTTATTTATTAGAGAAAAACAGGAATTTAGCATTAAAATATTCTACATAAATACAAGCAAAAGCAGTTTAGCTATAACAAAAACAAACAATTATAATATGTTTAATTAAGCAATATTAGTTTTATTCAGGGGTGAGTTCTCTGGGCTTGCTTAGCATGCACTGCATGTTAATTAATTAAGAGAAAGTTTTGACTATCAATATACTTTTTATATGAGAATAAATATGCCAATAATAATTTATTCTAACGTGTAAACTCTTTTATCATTTGTGTTTGCTTTTACAGTGGCAGCAAGTTGCTAGCTGTTTTAAGTCAGTGCGATGCTTGCGGGAACTTGATTGCTTGCTTGTGTGAGATCAGCCGGGGGTACACAAATTCGTTAGTACCACTTAATCGGCCTATTTCGTGAGAATAGTTCTCCGTGTTTCGAATCGTAAGATCCGATCGTAAAAAGCTTACATAGGAGAGCGTATTTTAAAATGATCTGAACGAGAAGTTCAGATGTTCGTCAGGATTCCTTGACACCAGTTAATCAAACTTATTATACGCGGATTAACACGCGTTTGCGATCTGATTCGGAATAAATTGAGGAAACATTCTTATAAAATAAAACAAGAGTAAATTTAATAAATCTCAAACAAACGAATACAAAAATGTCGATTACAACCATTTAGCGACAAGTTAGAGACTACGACTAAATCTATGCTAATGCGCGTTCGAGAGAGAGAGCTCACAAAATGATTCTAAACATACGACCTGTTTAGTTGTCGTCGTCTCCGTTTCTGTAGATATAGGACACCTTGTAGATAGAGTTTATATTACTTTCATATGGGAGATCAATTCGTGCACAAAATATAAAAATATCACTTCTACGTGTAGACTCGGGACTTAGTCTCTCGGACTCCGTTTATGGGCGTTGGCCATCAGGAGGAAAACTGCGTGGAGTTTAGATGCTTTGGATCTGTCGAAGAACTCCCCGAATTCTGACTAATCTCCCCTTTTATTTCAAAATTTCGTCCAATCATCATCCAGCAACTCCTTCGTGAGAACGGACGAAAGGGGGATGAATGAGGGGTAACCATTTCCCATCTGAGCGAGATTTTTAACCAGATACGGAAAAACAGCGGATGTTCTCTTCTGTGGAAGGAAGTAACATCTGTTATCTGGTTTTTCCCACGTCTAAAACACTAGTTTTTCACACCAAATGAAATAATATTCTGTGTCGATAATTTAATATTATTAATAAAAATTCACAAATTACCCCCCGGGCCTTTCGGATCTCACACTTGTATGGAGGTTTGCTGTGGCAAACAAGTGCATGTGCATGATGTCATTTGAAGCATTTAACATGGCCAGATTGTATCGAAAGCTTGCGGTACTCAATCAGCATACATGTATTGTGTACAGAGGTGGATCTACATAGAGATTAATAGGGCTTAAGCCCTGGGTACCCAGTGTCAAGGACCCACAAAATTTGAATTATTATCATAAATTTTTAATTCTTTTTCATTGTAATATATTTCTTATATTTCATGTGTAGATATGATGGGCTTTATAACAGTCCATACTTTTCATTCACACCAAATAACGTTTCTGCCTATTGTTTAATGATAGAGATAGGCCTATTATTCTTATTATAACTTTCAGCATACCCAAAAATTTTGGTCAGGATTTGCCTCTGTTTTTATTCAAGAGTTGTATTAGGTAGAGGTTACCTGTCTACTGAAGGCCATTTGGAGAATTCATATGAAAGATCTTAACTTCATATACAAGATGCAGGGTGATGATTTTGAGTATTTTTTTAAATAAAAGTTACATCTGATATGTGTAAAATATGGCAATATGTAACAAAAAAGTCATAAAAAATTCTAAGATTGAATTTTATGTTTAATTGATTTATAATACCAGTTTATATGTGAAAATATATTTCATAAATAATAAAAATATTTGTTCTATTTATAAAACTTTGCAAATAAAATTTACACTTAGAGTTGGAAAAGACAAGAATACAAACATTTGTTATTTTATGATTATAGATCAAGAAATGAGAGTACAGTAATAGGCAATTATCAATAATTACAGTATAAACTGAAAAAATTTTGTTTATGTACTTTTTTAGATATTTTTGGTAGTTGTTGAGACTTTCACAATGATTTCTTCTTTAATTGAATTATGCATACACAATTAAAATAGTTTGAATTTATATTTTAAAAAATTTTCTATTATTCTATGTTAATTAATATAAGTTTTTATATAAAATTTTATAAAAGATCTAAACATACTATATGTAAATTAATTCTAAAACTTTTAAAATATTTTTAATAGCTTCTTCATCTGAAAAGCAATAAATATTTAACTGTAAATAAACGATTACCTGCCTTGCTGGAAAAGAATGCAATGAGAGTATGTTTAGATTCTGCAGGAAATGAAGGTTCATGGTTTTACATAGTGCCTTTTTATAAATTAAGATCTACTGGAGATAATGTATGTAATTTAAACAGTTCATTATTTTTATTCTTATGTATATCTTTTGTTTTGTTAATTTAATTATTTTGGTTTTAAATTTTTTAGGTAGTAGTTGGTGATAAAGTTGTATTAACTCCTGTGAATGCTAGTCAACCTCTGCATGCTAGTAGTTATGAACTTCCTGATAATCCTGGTTGTAAAGAGGTATATTTTGTTATTTTTTATATTGAAAATTATATGAAATTATATTTTTTATATATACAGTAAGACCTGTTAACACTGCTTTGATTAATGCTGATTTGATATAATGCAGTCTTCTCAAAGTTTAAAAAAAAAAAAAGCTCAAAATTTATGCCAATTCAAATTATCGTGGCATTTTATTGATTTGTATATATTACAATTATTCCCAAAGACAAACCAATCGGCAAAAGGTGCCAATTCATCGTAGCACTGTACGTACCTTAAATCTATGTTTGTTTGGTGCAATTTTGAAAAAATATAACATCATGAATGCCATAGGCAATATTGACTTTGCTTGGCAAGAATTAACTGATAACTGCATGAACAAAGTGTGGAAGAAGTTATGTCTGAAGGTATCCAAGGATTCTCAATGAGAAGAGTCTATCATTGACTAAATTGTCAACCTAATCGATACAGCAGGACTAGGAGATGTAGACGAGCAGGATATTGAGGAGTTACTGCAGGTTTCTGGAGAGAGCCTTACCAACGACAACCTTCAAGAACTGGCAGAACAAGGAATTCATGTAGAACTGAAAAATAGTGATTCTGAAAACGAAGAACACAAAGAATTTCTCTATAGATTTCCTTAGTAAAAGTTTGGTAACGATAACCAAAATTGTTGATCAAATTGTAACGAATGATCCAGAATTTGAAAGGAATGCAAAAGCAAGATGAGCGTTTTAAATGCAATCTCCTGCTACCGACATTTGCTTAAGGAAATAAAAAAAAAGGCAACAAATGAAACTACATGACTTTATCACAAAAACAAGAATTTCATAAGAGCCAGGACCTCATCACAAAAAATGAACTTTACATTTCTTGTGTTATTTAATGTATATCATTATGCAAATTAATATAAAAATAACTTAAAATTAAAGTAAAATCTGTTTATTTTTGGACTTGTGTTACTTTTTCCCTATTTACTCTATGTTAAAATGACCTCGTTTAACGCTGTTTTGTTTAGTGCTTTGTCATCTAGGAACATATCCCCCGCATTAAGTGGGTCTTACTGTATATATATTTATTACTTCAGAGGATCCATAGATTATCCAAAAGAGTTTTAATATCACTAATGTTTGTTAGACATTGTAACTTCTAGATGGAATCCAAATCTAATTAGTCATTTTTGTTAATTATGACAAATAATGGAATTTCTTCAGTTTTCTAATTTCTTCTATTTATGAACCAAACACAACAGAATTTTCATTTATATTTTGCTGTATTATGCAATATGAAGCAAGTTATTTTTTTATTTAAGTCAAATTACATAAGATATTTGTTCTTGTTTTAGCAATAATAATAACAATAATACATGACAACTGTAACACTTAAGTTTCAGGCATAACATCTTATAATAATTTGGTGTTTATTTAATATTAATTTTTTTATATACAACAATTTATTATTTGCCATATTTGATGTTTCTGAAATGATTGCATTGCATAAAACCAAAGATTAAAAATACTCATGTAAACTAATAAATGATGACTTCATGTCTTTTAATTAAAACACATAACATCAAACCTTATTCAAGGAATTTAAATAAATTTAATTTTTGAAACGTTTTTGGGAGCATATTTTGAAAAATTTTCTCCCATCTTAAGCTGAATCATTCAAATATACCGTAAAGCAACAGCCAAAAGTACTGATTGCTTGGAGAGTTTGAATTTGTGCATTACAGTTTAATTGGATAGACTTACCTAATTCATATTAACAGAAGCAAAACATTAGCTTTAAATCCATAAAGATATTCATAGAAATTTTTATATAAATTATAATCATTTAATATGTAATTCATATTTTTAAAGAATTTGTTTTGTAGTCTTGTACAGCTATATCTTACTTTAAGGTACTTTGTTAATTTGGTGCTTTTCTCTTATATTTACATTTATTATTTTTTTATACTTGACTTGCTCTTGGAAGTTCTTGGAAATTTTTCATTTTTTATTTTTACTTTTGCTTTTTTTTTTATGCCTAGCATTACTAAGCACTTAATAAAAGATAATGTAAATATGTATTTCTTAGATTTATAATACTAGAACCAAATTGCCAAATATTACAATAAATATAAAAACCAGTTTAATTTGATGAAGACTACATATTCCAAATAAATAGTGAATGTGAAATTTATAGGGATATAAATTTTTGCCACAAATAATAAAAATGCTTTTATATGCATAGCAAGTTAAAAAAAAAGCTATGTTTTGCTTTAAGCCAATGGTCTGGAATTTAATCTACCTTATTAGCAAGATTTACCTGTATACAGAATATTTCCAATAAAAAGTCATTTACTATTATATTAAAACATTAAATATAGTCAATAAATAAACTTTTAATTAATAAAAATAATTAATAAATTTCATATTTAAATCTGTAATTTATTAGAAATTTTTCTTATAATTTTTAATTTTAATAGGTGAATGCTGTGAATTCTAATACAAGTTGGAAAATATCACTATTTATGGAATATAAAGAAAATATGGATGATGTTTTAAAAGGAGTAAGTTTTATTTAAAAGAGAATAATAATTAATTTTGTAAATGATTAATATCTTTTGCCTATACATAATATAATGAGAGAATTTATTCTGTTGCATGATGATAGGGTTTCTCTTTGTCAATCTTTGACTATTTTCTTCAGTTTGAATTCTTTTTACAATTGGTTACTTTTCTTTTGCAAATCTCTAATAATATAGTTCAACAATAGAAAGTTTTTTGATATTAGTTAAAGAAAAAGATATATTGAATTTAAATAACAATATATGAATGAATATGCCCAATAACTGTGATGAAATATTAAAGAAACAATATAAAAAATTTTACCTTGTATAATTAATTAATTAATTAATTAATTTAATAAATTCTGTACATATTAAATTTTTTCATCTTTTCTACTTTTTTTATAGCTAGAAAGTCACAAAGAAATTTAGATTAAAAACAATAATAATAATATATAAATGATAAGTGAAAACTTACTGATATTTTATTATATGTATGCATATGTGTACATTTGGTAAGTGATTTAAGTAATGTAGTATTTATAAACACCACATTGATAAAATCGTTAAAAATCTTGCTATTTGCTGGGGAATTTCTTCATAGTATCTTATCAAAGTCTGTTTTGTTCTTCACAAAATTTCATCTGAGTTTTCTTTTTATTTTACAAATTGTGCCATTTACCATTATTTGAGTTATATATAATAGAACAAGACTACAGTTCCTTGATTCTAATAAGCATGTATTTTGTTTTTATTTTATTTTATTTCTTAGACTTTTTAACAGTTTGCTATTCTTTGAAGATGTATCTGTTATGGCTAAAGTCCATGATTTGGATAAAGCTAGGATTAACTGGCTAATGCTAGCTTCATCCAAGTCTTTTGGTTAAATTAAGTAACAATCTATTTTGAACTTGAGTATTTTGTTTCTGAAAACTTTTCTCATAAATTGAAATGCCATGAATCAAGATGAACTTTTTCATTATTTTTATTGTCAAAATTTGGACTTTGTTCCAACATAATCTAGTCATCCTATACTTGTTCTCCAAGATTGAAATGCTACAGAACACCATTTCATTTATCTATCAATTGTAATTTGAAATGAAATGAAATAAAATTATTGATTAGGTTATTTACCAATATAAAAAGAGGTAATACAAAATGAGAAGTAAGTATGACAGAGGAGCAACACATAAGTTATAGACATTTATTTATTTGATGGTAAGAAAACAAGAATTAGTTAAGATAATATGTGTGCATAAAATAAATAAAATAAAATTGTAATCACCAATAGAAAGATCTGTCTATCAAGAAATGTGTTTAAAAAATAATATCTATACACACTTTTTATTATATAATTGTTCATTTCAAAAGTTTGTTTATAATGATATCAAAATATTGAATAATTTTTAATAGGGGGACGTTGTACGATTGTTTCATGCAGAACAAGAAAAATTTCTCACTATGGATGAATATAAAAAAAAGCAGTATGTTTTTCTTCGTTCTACTGGGAGAACTACAGCAGCTGCTGCTACAAGTTCTAAGGCATTATGGGAAGTTGAGGTAAAAACGTTTTAATTTCTGACTAAATTATATTAATTTAAAAATTTTAATTGTTCTGTAATTGAACTTTTAAAATTATTTATATTGTTGTTGTTCAAATATTTTAATTGTAATGATTGATGCTTTTGATGTATTTGAAATATGATTTTTCAAATAAAAGCATATTTCAAAATGTATACACATACTACTGAAAATTGGAAATATACTTACTTTAGAAATATATTTTTGCTGTATATGATGCAAATTAAATAGAACAAATACTTATGTAGTTATGTAGGATATGTATGTTTTGAAAATAAACTTTCCAGGTTTTAATTCAGGAAATATACAGCAGGGTTTAAGAATTATTTGAAATTACATAATTTTGTGAAATGAAACTATTTTTAATGCATTAAATTAACTTAAAGCAGTAGATATAGATAATTATACAATATTTTTAATTTATTAATTAAAACTATTATATAAAACTAAACTTACTAATAAGACATTATTTTTATTAGGTTGTTCAGCATGATCCATGTAGAGGAGGTGCAGGTCATTGGAATAGTCTCTTCCGTTTCAAGCATTTGGCAACTGGGCAATATCTTGCAGCTGAAGTTGATGATGACCCATCATTTGATCAAATGAGGGCAAAATTGAGAGGACCATCTGGAAATCCTGTGTATCTTTTAGTTTCTGTTCCTCATTCAAATGATATTGCATCTATTTTTGAACTTGATGCTACTACTCTTACTAGAGGAGATGATTTGGTTCCTCAGTACGTAAAAATTTTTGTTTAAGATTAATGATATATTTGTGAATAATATTTAAATTACTATTTGAAGTAAATGGCCTTTTTTGGTTATGTTTGTTTATATAAATGCTGAATATCTAAATAATAAGTAAAAAATTATTTTACTTAACTAAATAATGTAACTCTAATAAATACAGAGAGTAAGTTAATACATTAATTATAATTATGAGAAATGTCAATTCTTCCTAAACATTAGTTTTTATAAAATGTTTAAATATAAATCTTTATGAAGTGGAATTTAAATATATGATCTGATACACATAACACAATATTCTAATGAGCAATTATTTATTGTGTTTATTTATTTAATTTCTTAATTGGTTATTTATTATGCCAGGCTGCAATTTTTAATCATATTTTAAATTTATTTATTTATTTTAAAATATATGCCTTCCACCTCAAATTAATAGTGGTTTGCCCCTATACATCATACTTTTGTTTTAACAATAGAGTCATGCTAGTCATCTATTAACTGCTTTTGAGGGAGGAAGTTTTGAATTGACCTAACATGACTTCCAGTTTGTATCAGAAGTTCATGTATCGTGGCCTCCAGCCCCTAAGGTTTCCATATCTGGTCTCATCTTTCATCTATCTAACTCCATTCTTGAGATTAAGGAAAGATGGATAGATGGACTGACAGGCAGACAACAGTGGGAATTTATAGGTCTACAATTTTTTCAAATTGCAGCCCAATAAACTCTTCTCTCAAAAAAATATTAAGTATATAATAAATTTTCCCGTTTATACATAATAAATTTTTCCCTTTATAGTATGCTTTGCATTAAGTACTTAATGCAAAGCATACTATAAAGGGGAAAATTTATTATGTAATAGTCCATTGTTAAGTTTATATTTAATGTGTGTGTGTGTGTACTGCATATATTATTTCTTTATTAATCAGATTAAGTAATTTTATTTGATATTTCAACACAAGATAAAATTAAATGAAACTTGTACTAAAAATTTACATGTGCTATATACAAAGAATGCTCAGTGGAAACCCAGTAATATTTTCCTTCAGAGTATATATTGCAGAAACTGAAATAATCACACCATCACTGTTTAACATAGACCCCTTCCAGTTCAATAAACTTGCACCAGTGCTGGACAAGTTTATAGATACCGCAGGAAAAGAATTCTTTTGGATTGGTACACAGCCACTCATGCACTGCTGACTTCACCTTGTCATCATCCTAGAACTTCTTTTCACTTAGAGCATTGTTCAGTGGATCAAAGATGTGGAAATCTGATAGCAGGATATTCAATAAGCTGGAAGGTAAAGGATGCATTCAAACTGCATCTTATCAATAGTTGACACTGTAACTCTAGCAGTATGTGACTTCACATTATTGTGTTGGAGTCACACTCCTGCTGTCAACAACTTGTACTGTTTCTGGCAAATAGCTGGCTTCAGATGATTTTTCAAAGGTTTGAGCAGGTGCACTGGTACAGTGGAACCTTACTTAACAAGTATTTTGCGTAATGAGCAAAACAAATTGTAAAAAAAATGACTTGCTTACAAGCAATATTTCACATAATGAGTGACGAGACAAGAGGAAGTCCCAGATTGTGCGCATTCTCCATCAGTCTGTGTTTAGCAGTTGTTCCACTAGCATCTTAGTGTCACTTGTGATCAAGCATTTTTCCAAACTTGTGTTTACATATATTACGTATAAACATCAACAACCATTGCTGGTTATATAATAAACACGCCAAATGACATGCCAAATTCTTGGGCTATGTAATGGCTATAATTAAATATTATAAATTAATTAATTTGACTAGAGGTAGGCAGTTGCGCTGCCATCTTGTATTAAATTTATTGACCAATTCCAAATTAAATTTTTAAAATGTCTAAATTAAAAGCTTAATTATTTATAATTATTAAATTTAATATAAGATGGCAACATAACTGCCTACCTCTAGTCAAATTAATTAATTTATAATATTCAATTATAGCCTTTACTTAGTCCAAGAATTTGGCATATTGTTTGGTGTGTTTATCAGACATATTATCTGTAATTTTTTTGTTTTCTGCAAATTGAATTCACATTCATGTTGGTTCGTTCTGTGCTAGAAGAAAAGATGAAGATGATTCACGCTCTTTAACAATGTATACTGTATAATTTTCTTTGAATAAATGTTATACATAAAATATTTGAGTATTTTTTTCAGCATGGAATGCATTATCGTATTTTACATTAATTTATATGGGAAAAACTGTTTCGCTTAATGAGTGTTTTGCATTATGAGTAAGATTCTGGAATGAATTATGCTCATTAAATGAGGTTCCACTGTATATTGCTTCCTCTGGGCATGTGCTCTAAAATCAGTCTCTTGTAATCCTAGAATAAAGTCGACATGAATACAAATGTAAACATCCATAAGCCTCTTATTAAATTTAATAATTAAAATGAAAGTAATATTTATTAATTAATGTTGACTCCATAAGTAATCAGTATGGTTATATTTAAATTAAAATAGGACAAATTCAACAATCTGCTTCTAAACAGAAGCTTCTAAATAAATTAGTTCTCTGAGAGTTAATTATGTAAAGAGAGAGGAATCACTAGAAACTTATCAGCTTTCAAAATATGAGTTTAGATCTAATACACAGTAATTTCACAAGTTTTCTGAGAACTAAATATGAAATTTTTAAGTATTTAAAATCTTAATAGTAAACAAATATTTTTATACATATTATACTGTATTATGTTATTTTATAAAAAGTTTTTATATGACATCATAATTTTATATTTTTAGCACATTTTGATTTCATTAAAATTTTAACTATTTAAAAGAATTTTCATAAATTTTTTTATTATTCTAGATCATCGTATGTTAGATTACGTCATCTATGTACAAATACTTGGGTTCATAGTACCACAATTCCAATAGATAAAGAAGAAGAAAAACCTGTTATGTCAAAGGTAAAATAATTTTAATTTATAATTAAAACAATTTTAGTTATTTTGCTATATTTAAAAAAAAATTATATATAGTTAAGATGAAATATATTCTCTAAATATCTACAATATAATATTACAGTAGAGGTTAAAGTTTATAATTTTTGGTAAAAAAAAAAAAAGAAAAAACTTTGTAACATTTATTCTTTTTGTCCTTGAATTTTTAAAAATATATTCTTGTCTTTTATTTATTTTTTTCCAAATTATTTTTAATTAATAACTTATTGGTCAATGATACACTGCTGTAATAGTTGTCCATAAACAAATGATTTTTATTCAGTTATAATCCATAAAATATAAAGCATAAAATTAATTTTTTTTTAATATATTGGATTAAAATTTTAATTTTTTATATTATTTCTGGTAATTCTGAACTGGTGTGCCACAGCACTCTGATATGCTATGAAGCCTTTTCAAATGTGTCTTGGGATAAATTAAAAAATTAAAATAGCAAATTTTAGAATTTACAGAAATATAAAAACACGTAATTCTATGCATTATCATTTGTATTTTAAAAGTTTTATCAAGCCAAATATTGTAGAGAAACAGTGGCAAACCTAGCTATGTGCAGGTGATTTAATGCTATATTACTCAGTAACTCTTGTACTAGAGCTTGTGATCTTTTTGGTATGTTACTGATTATATGAAGAGTAAATCTAGTTGTCTAAATAAAAAACTGCATCATTTTCACTATTACTACCACAACAAAGGACAACAGAAACAGAAGACTGGAGAATCACCTGTTGGCACAACTATATGTGAGTTACATGAAGAAGGTTGCTAATGCTTTGACTTCAGTTGAAGTTAACTTTGTGATGGACTAGTCAATTTCAACCTGTTGGTATGGTGGCACACTTTATTATTAAATATGATCTGCATATTTAATAATAAAGTGTGCCACCATATCAACAGATTAAGAACCACTATACTAAGCTGATATACAGTAAAGCAATAGCCCTAAAAGATTTATTTTGAAATTTATCCAGATTTCCATAATTTATTCTGAATAAAGCATAAATGAGATTGATGAGTCATTTCCTATTGCTCATCCATGATAGTTGATCCCATTGCAGGTCAGACTTATCTGTGATGAATAAAATTGTAGTTAACCATAGCTTTATTATGTTAGTGATTCATGTTAATTGATCACTCTATTTAATTTTTACTTTTTTAAACATTTTTCTTCCTTTTATAAAAGTGCCTAGATGGTTTTTAGTTAAAGGCTAAAAGTGGCTAATTTTGGTTAAAATGTTATTTTTTCAAATAAATTTTGGATGGGTATATTTTAAAGTTGAAATTCAATTAAAAGAATAAACTTTTATATTTTTAATATGACAAGAAGGCAATTATAATAAATTCTATTGTATATGTACAAAATTAAATTTTATTTGGTTTTTTTGAATATATGTCTCTTTAATCCGAATCAGTAAAACATTAATTAAATTTTATTTACTGTATTTACTTGCGTATAAGATGATCTCACATATAGAATGAGGTCTGACTTTAAAGATCAAAATAAAGATAGTTAGATTTATTAATACAATTCTATTTTTATTTTGTTTAATCACAAATAAAATATCAAAGGCATGTAAGTGCACACATTGTCCCACAAAAATTGCTGGCATTTTAAACTTTAAGGAAAAATCTTGTAAAATTGACAATATAAATTGTTTATGTAAAGCTGGACAATCAGGAACCTTTTTTGCCAATTCTTAACAATCGAATCCACTCTTCATCAATTACACTTATGAGTTTCTTTGAATTCTGATTTCCAAATAATCATCTGTTTTCAAGTGGGAATAGATTAAAACTTATATCGGGCTCCCATGTGATTTTGGAATTCAATTCAAAAGCTTTACTTTCACTATTGCTATTCATCTTTACTCCTGACAATATACAAGAATGATTCAAATGATCAAGATTAAATACTTTTGTTTTTAAACACCAGAAAGTGAGCATCTAGTAAAAAATGCAATTACACAGTTCACAAAAATTATTGCAAAAAATGCAAAGAATCCTTCGCTTGCTCACGTGTATAGGATGACCTAGGTTTTTGAAGCAATAAAAAATGAATAAAAACCTCATCTTATATACAAGTAAATATGGTACTTTTGCTATTTTTATAAAGTTTTAAAATTATACATTTAATATAAAATAAACTTGTAGGATATAGCAAATAAAGAATTATAAATAAAAGAACATTTTTACAATAATGGTAATTTTGCAAATTATATTGTAATATTGTATTCTTTTAATAATAATTCTTAGGTTGGATGTGCACCTATTAAAGAAGATAAAGAAGCATTTGCAATTAACCCTGTCCCTGCAAGTGAAGTTCGTGATTTGGATTTTGCAAATGATGCTTGTAAAGTACTAGTAACTATTGCTGGAAAATTAGAAAAAGGTTCAATTACACAAAATGAAAGAAGGTAATTTCAACATGAAATTATAGTATAAAAATAGATGATGCATATGAATTTATGAATTACTTTTTTTATACATTTTTTTCATTACATTTCAAAATATATTTTTAAGTTGGTAGCTATTTTGAAACTTAGTGTGCTTCATTATATTTTTTCAAATTAATTATTCTAAAAAACATTTACAAGAGCCTTACTTCATTTAAGGACTTGATACTTCAAAGAGAAGCACAAATACTAGAGGATGACAACTGTTTTTCAGATATATATTGTAACAAATCTATATGCTAGTTATTCAACATTTTAGACTATTATCTCTCTTCAGCAGAAGGTTACAAAAACTTCTTCTAAAAATTAATTTAAAATTATTTTACAACAAAAAACAAAATTCTCTCTTATTCATGAGATTGAATACAGTTAGTTTGTGCATAAACATGTAAAAAAGTCAGCATAAAGTATTACATTAAATAGTACATAAAATTGGTGATTACAACTATTCTACAAATATATTTTTTAACAATTATACTTTTCAGTAAAACTATTAAAAACAGCTTTTAAAAAACTTACCAAAAGGGATTCACCATATTATTTTTTCTTTCTTTTTTTACCATGAACACTTAAAAGGCACTAACACCACATTTTTGCAGATTGTCTGGCATGGTGAGTCTACCATGAAATCAGATATTTCTGTATGGTAAAAACTAGCATGCTGGTTTAATTGGCATTATACCAGTACATAACTCTCAAGAGGATGTGTGAAACTCACAGATAGCAGTTTTTATTCTAAAATTGTGAAAGTGTCAGCATTGCATCAAAAATTATTATATGTTTAATTTCTGCATTTTGTCTTCTTTCTAATGATATAAAATATTTGTGGAATACTGAAAATGATTTTTTTGTTTATTTTATTGTAATTTGATCCAAAAATGCAAAAATAAACATATCCAATTTCAGAAACTGGCTGTAAATTATCTCAACTTACACTGATTAACATCTATGTGTGAAATTTGAGAGAAAGCTGTTATCTTTCATAGTCAGGATAGACTGCCAATGCAGTCCACACTGACTAACTACTACCACAGCTAATGTCAATAAGCTGCTAATTATAAACAAAAACTCTCTTTGGTCTGCTAATTATAAACAAAAACTCTCTTTGGTCAGTCAAATTACAACATTATTTTATTGTACTGGGAAGAATGTTTTCTTTAACATTTATTTAACAACTAGTTTTGTTAGATCTGATTAATTTTATTTTTTTAGTCACAGTTTAACCAGCATGCTAGTCAATCTTCAAAAATATCAGATCAACCAAAGTTTTACTCAAAAGGTCACTAATGCTTCCATAGCTATTTAATTTTAAATTAATCTATTTGCAGGTCATCTACCCCCAGTATTGGATGCCATGATTTATCTTTAATACATTCTAAATTATCATTTATTTTATTTCCATTATTTTTAAATGTTCATATAACTGTCATTGATAATAATTCTCTTCATTTTTTTTTCAATTTTTACTAATTTTAAATTCATTTTACAATTTTTAGTTGACAATGTTTTGCCACTGCTGAGTTAGCATAATTATATTTTATTGCTCTAATATGTTTAGAAATTCTTACATCTAGTTTTCTTTTTGTTTCACATGTATATTTATATTTATTATTACATTTACATTTGAAAGAATATACAACATCTGTTTGTTTTAATACAATTTCTTGTTTTATTTTCTTTTTAAATCTTAATAATTTACTTACTTTATTTGTTCGCTTCAGTATTAGTACAGTACTATGTTTTCCTTTCTTACTATATTTTTAACTATTTTAAATAATTTTTCTTTATAAGATAACTTAGTATATTTAACATCACTTTTATCTATTTCCATTTTTCGATCTTTTAATTTTAAGCCATTTTCAAATAAAGATTTAATAAGACAAAAAAGTTCTTAGAGTATTTAATTTTTAAAGTTGATCACTAAAATATAACATAATTTATAATCATTTAAAATAGTCCATTTTAAAAATCTCTTGCTAATTTGATTGTAAAAAATGTTTATGGAATTAAATGTGGGTTAATTTTTATTTATACTTTTTAAGCTACAAGTTAACTTATCTTTGAAATCATTCTGTTATTTTCAAATTTGTTTTAAAGAGTTCTTCAAAATTATTGAATCCATCAAATATTAAATTTTAGTGTATTTTAATTATATAAATAAACACAAATAATATTTGAAATATTTTAAAATTGTGGATAATGTTTACTTTGAATTTGAATTTGAGATTTATAAACAATAAAATTGATTCAAAAAATCAAATTTAAATCACAAGTATTTTTGTTAATTGTCACATTATCAAAAATACTTGTGATTAAAGTATGATTTTTTAACTCACTAAAGACAAGCTATTTATTTTTTTATTTGTAATTATAGCTTCTTGTCCTGTTTCTTTGTATTTTATTCTGATATAGCTACATATTTTTTGGCTATTTATTTTTGGACTATGTCATACCATGTTTTCTTAGGAATCTTAGCTTGATTTTTTTTCTCTTTATTTTTTAATAACTTTAAACTCAATATGTACAATTTGGGTTTTTTCCTTCTTCAGTTGCATCATTATATTTGAATAATAATTTAGAAGGTTTTCTCATTAAATAAAATTTTCTTAACAGGCTTAACAGTTATCTTTCCTCTTTAAGAAAATGTACAAGGATAAGTCAAAAATTATCCACACTTTGGCTGTAAAATTTATTGTAATCAACTTTCAGCAAGTCAAATATATCATTTCTTGACATAATTGCCCTGATCTTCAATACACTTTGTCCATCTGTCCACAAATTCCTTCATTAAAAAATGTTTTCAGCTGAGCTGCAAACCACAAATATACTGCTGTCTTAACATGGTCATCAGATGTAAATCTTTATCTCTGTAGGGCTTCTTTTAAGGGACCAAACAGGTGATAGTCCAATAGGGTGAGATCAGGACTATAGGGAGGATGTTCTAACACCTCAAAATGAAGTTTTTGGAGAGTGTTGACAGTGTGGGTAGCAGTGTGCAGGAATGCATTGTCATGCAACAGCACAGTGCTCTTGGATAGTAGTCCTCTCCATTTTATCCGAACTGCAGGCTTCAGTTAGTGAACATTTCACTGTAACAAGCACTGTTGATTTTTACCTTTTTCCTGATAATGTTCCAATAATGGCCCTTGATAATCCCAGAAAACTGTAAGCATCAATTTTCTAGCTGATGGTTGACCTTTGAACTTTTTCTTGCCAGTGATTGGGGATGTTTCCATTGCTTACACTACCATTTATTCTCAGGCTCATAATGATGAATATATGTCTTGTCACCAGTAACAATTCTTTGCAAGAAAATTTTGCCTTCTTTAGAGTATCAGTTCAAATGTCATTTGCAGATGTCCAAATGTTTGTTTGTGCTCATCCATGAGTTCTTTTGGTACTCATCTCACACACACTTCTTGAAACCCAAGTTGGTTGTGAATTATTGGCATAGTCATGGCTGATGTGCAAATGGTTTGCCACATCATCAACTGTTAATCATCTATTTGCCAGAATCAGTTCAACTGCACACTCAATGATGTTATCATTCATGGCTGTGGACGTATGTCTGGCATTGCTCCATGGCTAATGCTTGTGCAGCCTTCCTTGAACTTCAGTATCCATTTAAACACACTTCTTTGCGACAAAGCACTTTTGTGTACACAAAGCTTCAATAAATATTGACACCAGACACACCTTCAGACCACAAAAGCAAATCACTGCACACTGCTTGTCTTTGGTGCAAATAACAAGTGGAGCCAACATTGTTTCCTGCACTGCAGTCACAAGGGAACTGACATTACAAGTGCAAACCTGCTCAGTGGTGAAGGGAAAGACAGTGTTCTCATTTTTAATGCTTTTCGCATTAAAAATGCCAGTGCTGCCACCAGACATTTTCATATAACTAGAGTGCAGATAATTTTTGACTTACTCTTGTACTAGTGATAAAAATTATAATTTATGTGGGAAATTAAAAGAAAAATTTACAAGACAGCCTATTTACAAAATTATATTTTTAAAAAAGAAAAAACAATTATTTAATGAGAAAACCTTTTTGATTTATGATAATACTTTACTCCAACAATCATATGACCCGTGAGAAGAGAAATTTAGTTATATGAAAAAAATATAGAATCAAATTCCAAAAATATCTTATAATAAATAAAACTGGATTTGGATGTAGTTTTAGTTTTAAAACTACATCAAATCAGATTTACAATCCAGTTTTAATATCCAGTCCAATCAAGTTTTAATATCCAAATCAGATATACAATCCAGTTATTTAATAAATAGTTTCTACTGTTTAGTAGAAACTATTTATTAAATAAATGAATATTAGTAAGAGATTATTGTTATTATTTTTTATTTAAATGCTTAAAACGTTTTCTAATAAAAGCAAAAATTTGTTTTTTTAATACCTAAAAATTAATTTCTTTAAACAGAAATTAATTTTTAGGTATAAAAAACCTAGCTTCTAGAAAGAAAGTGTGTAGAAAATAGCTGTAAATGCAGTTTGAATTGTTACAATTAAAACTGCATTTACTGTTTACTCCATAAATCTTAATATGTTTAAAAGTAGTTCTATAATTATTAACATATGATTTTGATTTTTTTCCTCAATCTAACATCTTCAAAATGAGTTTTGGCTCTTTATGATTGAATTGCATTTCTTCATTAATTAATTCATCTTCAATTCTTTTGGATATTAATATTGAAATTAATGTAACATATCTATGAGTATTAATTAGTTATAATTAAATTTTCTAATCATGTTAATATAATTTTTAATTTATTATATATAATTAAGCACATTTTATCTATATTCCTTATACACAAGTAATATGACTTTTAAAACATTATCTATATACACAATGAAATTTCTTGAATTTTATTGTTTGATATGTTTATTGTTTTCTGATTTTAAAGAATGTTGTGTTTCACAACTTCTTTAAAATTATATCATGTTTTGTATAAATAAAGTGAAGAAATGTAAAATGTTTTTATTTGATTTTTTTTATTCTGTAAACATTTCAAATATTTTTTTATTTTTTAATTAAAATTTGCATTATTTCATTTTGTGCAATTTTTTATTTCCAAAATTATAAATTTAAATTAAAATTTTTTTTTTTTTAAATTATTGAAATTGAAATTGAAATTATTTATTGTCATAGAAGGCTTTTGCCTGTTACAAGGGCGTTTTAAAAATGCATATTAACATTTCATTTAATATTATTTTAACAACTTTAGTTTTTTCTATTTATTAATCTATAGAATATATTAATAATTTATCACAATTGTCATTTAATTAGTTGTTTAACGTAGTTATATAACATATAGATCATGTTTACATTAGCTCTATCAAATGTCTTATACATTTCCAACTCATTAGTATATTTAGCCAGTGGCCCAATCTGGAGCCTTTGAAGTTTGTCCTTTTCATTACAATGTTCACATATAATATGAATTTTAAAATTATAAATTTAGTTTTATAATCATAAACTTATGACTTTTTTACAAATATATAGTTCTCTTTGTAAGAAAATTTTGTTATTGTCCAATGACGAGATAATTTGGTTTTAATATTATTGAGTTCTAATTTAATGCTATTTGGAATATTTTAGATACTATTTTAAAAGTAATATCATTATCATATTATAAAACAAATGATAACACTTGATTTAATATTGGAAGATATTGTGATTTTTTAGCATTATTATATAATTAACATACAGTAAACCTTTACTAATTCAGTCTTTGTATAACTTGACAATTTTTTTTCGAAAAGTTTACAGTAATTTTCTTGATAGTACAAAAATTATAATTAAGTGGTGTTTTTAATATTTGGAAGTCTTTGTGATATCATATATTATATTATTGTAGTCAGTAAGTTATTGATGACTGTATATTGTTGTACACTGTAATGTCAAATTTTTTTCAGCTCATTTCCTGTAATAATAAATTCAAAAGTATAATCTAGTAAAGCTCAATAAACTTCAGTGTAAAGTTGATTTATAATTAATTACTGTACTGTATGTCCACCTTCTTGTTACCACATCATCAGAGAAAACACCTCATTAACTTGAACTTTTGTAAACTTGGATAACCTTCATTCCCTATTAGTCTGAGTTCATTTGAATTTACTGTATTAGAAACTATTTTATTGTAAATGTATTATTGAGATTAAAAATATAAATATATTTTTTATAAGTTTCTGTTTACTTAATAGATTTGTGACACAATTAGCACATGAACTCATTTATTTTATTGCTAATAAAGAAAATGAGCCAAAGAAACCAGAACCTTTAGATTTAGTAGTTTCTCATCCAAATCGTGAAAGACAAAAATTGCTTCGTGAACAAAATATTTTAAAGCAGGTAAATTCTTGGTACTCTTTCAAAAAATTATTAATTGTTTATTATAACTTTCTTTATTTAATTCAAATTTTAAATTTTGATTTTATTTTATCTTAGCTATTTAAAATTCTTCAAGCACCATTTACAGATTGTGGAGATGGTGCTATGTTGAGAATGGAAGAACTAAATGACCCAAGACATGCAGCATTCAAATATATATTTCGTCTTTGTTATAGAATATTAAGACTCTCACAACAAGATTACAGGAAGAATCAGGTTAGTTATTATTCTTTAAATTAATGTTTTTGTTTTAAAATATGATGAAATAATACTGAAAATGCCAAATTTTTGTTTGCTATTTTTTTAAACAATTAAAAATTAATTATGAATGAATTTGGCTATACGGGTATATGAATCACAATTTTTGTGATAATTTTTATAATTAAATGTTGATTTGATTTTTTTTATTTAATTTCATTTTATTAAATAAATTTGATTCAAAACCTTTCATAACACTTATATTATAGGTGGATGTGTTATTAACCACATCATTTTAAGCACTATATTAAACTTGTTTCTAGATGTATAAGTAACTAATTACATCTAGTAAGCTATTACATCATATAAAGTACTGTACATTTTATCATGTTATCATACTGATGAAAAGCAATGCATTAAATATGTATGTGTGTATGTGTATACAATTCTGTAGTTTATATTTTATGAATTTAATTATTGATTAATTATCAGTTACACACTTTAATTGTTTCTTGAATTATAATGAAAAAATAAAAGTATTTAATTGTTAAATTATCAGAATTAAATCTCTGTAGTGTTATAAGAAAAATATTATTTATTGCTCTTACAAGATAGCAAAAATTAATTTTGAATCCAGAAACATTTCTTTACATAGACTCCAGCAATCAGAAAGAACCAATTACTTTTAGTATAAATTTATATGGATAATGATAAAAGTGTTAACATTAAGAAGTATTTATCATTATATGTAATTGTTTACAAATAGTAGTTTCAACAATTATTCAAATTACCATTGACATAAATATAGATATTTTATNGATGCAGATGCAAAAAATCACATTGTGTGGCATGAACAGGCTGCTGGATCATCTGTGATAATTTTGTGATGCTGCACAACTGTTTCGCACTTAGAGATACACTTGAAACCTATGATCGTCAGATGAGCATAATAGACAACAGATGTGGTGGTAACATTGTTTCAAGGAAATACTGTCGATGTTGTTCCTGCCAAAGGGAGTACAGTACCTGCATATTTTTTTTAAAAAATGGACATTGATATAAGTAAAATGATCATACAAATTAGTGAGAAGCCAGAATTGATAGAAACTTCATTTGAACTTTATAAAATACAGAAATAAGAAAAAGAAAGGCCTGATATGTTCAAAAGGGGATATGCAATATTGCCTATGTCTTTTTTTGTTTTTAAATACTTCTGTATGTAATAAAAAAAAACAGTGCACCGCAATCTACGAGATCCATGTCGACATATATGCATCCAAAATAAAGCTGACTAGCAACATGCTCAAAAAATAGTGCTCATCTGATCATCGACTTTGCCACCATGAGTTTTCATGTCTGTGAATTGAAAAAAATAAAGTCTGTGCGTTCTCTCACTCATCTGACTTTAGCCTAAGTGCCATAGTGGGTGTAACAGGCTGTGGGTGATTAAGTCACCCAGAGTGGGTGCTATCAGTAACCAGTATGGTTACATCTAAATTAATAGTTCCGGAAGCAAAGATCAAATGGATGATTGGGTAGCATAACTGGTAACATGTCTGCACAAGTGAGAGTTGCAGGTTTGAGTCCCGATGTTAGTCACTTTTGTTTATCCAGACAAATCAGATTGGATGAATCTAATTATGTAATCATAATTATTAAATTTATTAAGAGATGGTACCTAACACCTACTTCTAGGCTAAATTACTCAGCATTTAATTATTAATAGTAACAGTAATATAGCTCAATCTAATCTGGCAATTGTTTGGCTCTATACAGATTTAGATGTGTACATTACATATATCTTTATGATAATTATTTTCAAATTTATAGTAATAAAATTAATTTAACTTTTTAAATTAGATTTATTTACATTACAATTTAATTTTTGAAAAAGGATTATTATAAAGTAAAATATAGAAATCATGAAAAATTATTTACAGTAATAAAAGTTTTTAAACTATTTTTTTGATATAGGAATACATAGCAAAATGGTTTGGATTTATGCAAAAACAAATTGGTTATGATGTTCTTGCTGAAGATACGATAACTGCACTGTTACATAGTAACAGAAAATTATTGGAACAACATATTACTGCAGCTGAAATTGAAACATTTGTTAGTTTAGTAAGAAAAAATAGAGAAAGCAGGTTAGTTTTTATTTTTAATTAAATAATTTTAAAATAATTGAAATGATTTGTAAAAATTTTATAATATGACGTATTTTTAAAAATTCCAGAACAAATATTAATGTGAGGAAATATGCATGCTATTGTATTCTTTGGTTGGATAAATATACAGGTTATAGCATTTTATTATAAAACAAGTCAGCATTCAGTTTGCATACTTTAATTGTTACAAATTGCTATATTAAATATATATTTACTCTATTATTGAATTTCTGGTTTAACATTATTAGTCTGTTTAGTACATTATAAAGATTTTTCATACTGCATTTTTCTTTTCTGGCAATAGTTAAGTAGTTGACTGTACTTTAAACATTTACATGAAAAACTATGGAATCTAATTATTGTATTGTATCGAATTTGCTTAGTTACTTTATTTACTTTGTTAAAAATTTTTAATTCTCATCTTTAGAACAGATGTATTAAAATATTTAAACTCAAACAATGAAAGAAAAAATGTTTGAGTGATTTTTACCTCCTAGAAAATTGTTGATAAACTATGTTATCTTAAGACTTGTCTACATATTTTAGTTTGAACAAACTAAAATATGTAGACAAGTCTTTGATATATTAAAACTATGTCAAAAATAATTTTTGACATATTTTTAATATTAATTTAATATTGTTTTTATTTTTGTTTATTTATATATAATTTTTTAAAGGATTTATAAAATTTAAAAAACCATTTAATTATTTGTTTTCACTGTTGATATATTTTCTAAAAGACTAAATTGTTTGAGGGCTGTTTCTTTTTCAACCTCCAGGGTCCATAAAACAAAAGACAAGTGTAAATAACAAAATCAATTTATTACCAAATGTTAGGTACAAATATGGTTACTTTCAACATAATCACCGTGAAGATTGAGGTGTTTCCCTATCTCTGAACGAGCTTTGAAATCCCCTCTTTGTAAAAGGTTGCCACCAGTGACTTGAGATGGCCTTGAGATTGTCATTAGTCTCAAATCTCTCCCCTCCTAGCCATGTTTTCAGATCAGGAAAGAGGTGGACATCTTCACACATTAAAAAGTTCCAAGCTGGGGGGAAGTCTGAAAGGTGGAAGTTTTCACTACCTTTAAACACCCAGCATATAGTCACTGAGAGACTTCCACCTTGTTCTTGAACAGAAAAAGTGGCTAGGAAGGCAGAGGTTCGTAAGTAATGACGATCTTCAAAACAGTGTTAAAGCCATATCAAGTCACTGGCGGCAACATTCTACAAAGAGAGGATTTCAAAGCTCATCCACAGATAGACAAATACCTCAATCTTCACGGTGATTATGTCAAAAAGTAACATTGTTTGTACCTAACTTTTGGTAATAAATTCATTTTGTTATTTACACTTGTCTTTGTTTTATGAACTATCGGAGGTTGAAAAAGAAACACCTATGTACAGTGGAACCTCGGTATACGACCTTAATCCGTTCCTGATTGTTGGACTTATACCGAATAGGACGTATACCGAATCAACCTTTCCCTTAAGAAGTAATGTAAAAATGATTAATTCGTTTCTCATGTAAAAAAAAATGGCTGGCTTTAAACACCTCTCTTTCCTGGCTAGTTCCTGCTTGATTTTTCATGAGATCAGCATGTATTTTTGTAGCTTTCTCGCAAATAATTGCTTCTGATACGGTGTCTCTAGCACACTGTTTTTCAGTTATCCAAAGCAAAAGCAATTTCTCAACATGATTTAATGTCTTCGATCCCTGTTTAGAAATTGATTTAACCCCTTTCGCAACGTTAGCAGATTTAATAATGTCTTTATTTTTCACGATTGTCAATATCGTCGTTCTCGGAATAAGGTATGCAACAGTTAAAATCTCAAACACGCGTGCCACCTTCATATTTCTCAACAATCTCTTTTTTCAGTTGTGATTCTAGTCATTTTTTTAGTTTTCGGTTGCTTTTCATTTGCCTTCTTGCAATTCATGATTAATAATAAAATTTTACTTACAAATTAAAATCAGAAAAAATCTAACAAAGTTATAAACTGTGGCACCACGAACGTCTAGTCTGGTCTAGTACACCGACAGTTGTTCATAGATGGCGCGTATAATTAAGTCGTATACCGAGCAAAATTTGTTTTGTCCAAACATGACGTATTCCAAATTTGACATATTCTAAAGCAGACGTATACCGAGGTTCCACTGTATTTTAGTTTCTTGAATTTAAATATGTTGAAAAAAATCGTTTCAGTTCACTTTTAAATTTAGATGTTCAATTATTTTAATAATTCTGAATCATACTTTAATGTTGAAAAGCAACATGAATTAAAAAAAAAAAGGTAAAAATCAGATTTATGCAAAATAATATCTTACAAATAACGGCATTTTCATATTATTTTGTAAAGATACATCAAATTTCTTAAAGTTTATAAAGTTTTAAATTTTAATTTCTGTTTTAGATTATCTAGAATTTTAGTATTTGATAGATGCAAATTGGCTCCCCTTTTTTTCGAAACAATAGCATGCAGATTTTAAATTTATTTTTATAATCGATAAATAAACTATTGTTTTTTTATAGTGATATTATAATGAATTAATTAATGTTTCTAGTCCTTTATACAGTGGTACCTCATATATTGTATGTTCCAAAGTTTGAATGCTAAATTCAGACTCAGAATTCAAAAAGTACTTCTATGTTTGAACTGTGTTCACAGAGAAAAAATATGCTCACTGCATAAACGCCATTTATCGTACAACCAAGTTGTCTTTCATTCTTGCTCTCACTGTGAAAGCATCTCAAGTTATGCTCATGTATTTTTAGTGCTTTTTTGCTTTATTTTTGATATATTTAATCATACCTATTAACCATGCATTCAAGATTAATGTGAAAGCAACAAAGCTTAAGGAAAATATTGAAGTATTAATGATTGAGGTGTAAAAGGCAAATCATGAAGCATGAAAGTAGTACATGTGTGGTGGATCTGGTAGCACTGTTTAAGATGCCAAACTTGACTGCATGCACCATTCTTAAGAACAAGGAAGCAATAAAAGTGGCAAATGTGGCTAAAGGTGTGACAATACAGACTTCAGGAGATTGCATGTTATTGTAAACATGGAAAAACTTCTCCTAGTGTGGATAAATGAAAAGCAATTGGCTGGTGTTATCATCTCTGAGAGGATTATTTGTGAGAAAGCCAAGCAACTGCCTAGTGAGTTGTCCTTAAGAAACTGGACATCATCACTCCTAACTAAAATACAGGAAATGCAATTTTCATTTTATTATACAGAATTTATATGTTTTATTTATTTATTGTTTCCATGTTTTAATTTGTTATCTAGGGATTTAATTGTGTTATTTTTACTTTAAGTTTGTGTATTTGCTGTTTACGTTTATCAAAATGGACACTTTTTTGGGTCTAGAATGGATTAATTCATGTTCCATTATTTATAATTGGAAAAATTGATTTCGACTTTGAATATTTTAGAGTTTGAACAGCCTCCTGGAACAAATTAAATTTGAAGCATGAGGCACCACTGTATTTTATATTTGCTGAATATTTTTATTTAATTTAATATTACAAAGTAATTATTTCATTCTTGAAAATATTAAGATATTACTGGTGAGCAACATTAACATTTAAGGTTATTTTTTTACAATGATTGTAAAAAATAACATTAGTAACAAATAATTATTACAAAGTAACCTTCAAGTTGTTCCTGACAAATTCTTATTATTTATATGTAACATACCATAATGATAAACAATTAATATTAAAAAGACCTTAATATTAATAATATATTGAAAAGTTTTTTACCCCAAAGGAAAATCTTCATATTCCATGTGGTCACACTCATACTGTATGTATGAGTGTGACCACATGGAGTTGTGCAGTTGAGTTGTGGTCACACTCATATATAGAGTATGAGTGTGACCACAACTCAACTGCACATCTGGAGTATTATGAAAGAGTATATAATCAGGATAAATCCAGCCACTTGTAAGATAGTTATGGGCCTCTAAAGATTTGTAAGCTTTCATTTGTGAAAGAG